TATTAATTTGCTCAAAACGTATGCCAGACTTTCCATGATATTTTGTTTTTCAGAACTTTGAATTATAATACAGACCTGTTTGAATCCCCTATCCACAGCTTCAATTCTTAAGCTTGAAAATGTTTATAAATTACTTTCCCCTCAATATCACACATTTAACTTTACAATAATTAAATTTACAAACGCGTTATTTCTTCTACACGACAACCCCACTATCTTTGTTAAAGTGCTTAACAATACGAAAGAGCAAGAAAAAGAGTTAGTTAGAATAAGTTAGCGTGCAAATTACCATCACTGTAGTGAAATATTATGAAAGCTTAAGAAACTCCCAGTTTTGAAATTTCAAGGCACTTCCCTTTTACACATTTTCTTATATACTACATACTATGTATAATATATACAATTTTGTATAATCCATTGCATATAGCACATGTAAGCTCTCTTGCATTTCAACATTTGGAAAATGAATCAAATTTTTATGTGCACATTTGCATGCAACATGCAATTCCGTCATTCACATTTTCTCTCTTGCATGTTCTTTCATTTGCCTGCCCATTCGCCACATATCACATGCATTTACCATATGTTTCGAATGAATTTCCAACTGACGTTTTCCAAAGGACCTCGCAAATTGCACAATAAGCTTTACATTTGTATGCCAAAAGAAAAATTTGCGCAGTAGCAGCGCAAAAAGGCAGTAGCCTGATCAAAAATAACTCATAAATGTGAATTTATCGAAGTTATTTTTAGTAGCTTGCGTTTGATAGTGCCAAATGTCTGATTACACTGCTGAAAAAATAAAAGAAAGTTCATACGTGCTTTTTCATGTTTTTGTTCAATATTTTTTTTTTTTTATTTTTTTTTTTTTTTAATTTAAGATGTTTTTACATTACTTGTTTTATCCCTTGGTATAAATCCTTTCGTCGGTCAGAAGTTGTTTATTGTTCCTTATACGAATACTTGGGTGACAATTTTCCATCTATCGCTTGCCAAGTGGCCTTTTGTCATCTCTTCAACAGCAACTTACTTCCCTTCTCAAAGGCACGCTTTTGTAAGCATGGCACTCTAATGTATTTTCTTAACTAGTCACAGTATTTATTAGTTGTCGGCCCATTCTAAGCGACGTCTCACTTTGAAAATTTTAATATTACTGAGCTGAAATTTCCACTCACCTCAGCAAGTAGATTACGACAGGTACTTTTGTGAGCAACGTCTTCAAAATTGGTGTTGATTTCAATACAATTGTACCTGTTGAGCGAAATTTAACAGGCTCTTTTTGTGCCAGAGATTCCTTATGATTATTTTAAAAGTCTGGGCTCTTCAATTCTTACAACAACTACTTCGGTAAAACACTAGTTTCATTCTTTTCAGCAAAGAGTATTCTCGATTGCTAGGTGTACGAGTATGTATTTATCTTATTCGTTAGAAGAATTAATTTGTCATTCCATATTTCTTGCATAAGATGTCAAATATTACACTAACTCATTCCTTTTTACATTTTCTCTATTTATGTATATATGTGTAAAACCGTGCGAAATTTTCGCAGTAAACTATTTTTTCTTATTAAATACTTTTTCTATATATTAAGGAATCAAGTTAAAAATCTCTCTATTTACACATTTTTTGGATAGATTTTAAACTATATACAATTTTCATCAGATTTTTTTTCCAGATTCTACTGTCAGAGTAAGTACTTTAGGTCTTTACTATTGCTGATTATTGTTATTAATACTATAACATATTGTCTAATCTGACGGGTTTTTCCTCATATTGTCTCTAAATGAGAGTTCACAGCAATCTACTGGTCCATCTCGTTCAGAGATCAAAAAATTGTTTATGAACGGAAACCAACAAAAAAAAAAAAATATTATCCGGAACTTTCTCCGTATTTTTCACATGAAAATTCTCCTGAAGGCTCAGTTTGGAGCAATATGAGCTACATAAATGTAATCCTTGTTAGTTTGACTCATCTTCTATGTCATATGGAAGCAAACAAATTCTGGTATCACATACATACATATTTATGGGATAATCATAAATTGCATTATTTACCACAAATAAATGTCGATTAAATTTTGAACGCCTTGTCCATTTTCACCCATTTACTTGAATACCATCAAAAATACTGAATTAAGAAAACCCGTGTATTTTAGTGTACTATCGATTTCTTTTTTTTTATTTATATATGACTTCATATTCAAAATAGCAACACAGCTTAAAATTTTTCACATCAATTTTTCAAAACTTATGCTATCCTTATTATTAAGCACCATCTCAAAAGAGGCTCATGATACATTCACAGCTAGTTGGTAATTTAACCATTTCTTCCTTCATCACGCCGTCCAACAACACAACCAATTTACGATAGGTGAAGTTTTGTTTGCATTTCGCAATATCCTCCAGCGGCAGGGTATTATTCTCTTCGCCAGATCGCTTCTCATTTTCGCACTCCCCCACCAAAACACCTTGCTCATGTTTCTCATATTGCACCACCAATAACCACTTGCCATCCTCTGACATTGCACATTTCGGATAAATCAGGTTTGGTAGAGTATTGCAAGGTTTCTTCACCACCTGCATCTCCATACGAGTGGCTATATTCAGTGGCATCGCCATATCATCTGTGAAATATGCTCTGAATTTCTCGAACTCTTTTGGGTCAATTTTGTCTAGACGTGTGGCCTCCATATAGTTTTCAATCTCCTTGCAATGTGACTTTCCAGCTCGACGTTCAGCGCAAACGATTTCGTCATCTTCTAATTYTTCTTCTCTCGCTACTCCAGTATTAYATACCATAAGGCCTTCGTCAAGTTTAAAAATGCTCTGCAGTTTCTTCATAATATCTTTAGAAGAATCAGCACGGGGGGCAGGTCTGGCGCTAGTTTGTAGGACTATCAGGAAGAATGTTTGCATTTTAAATAAAAGGTATAGCTTCAAAGCCATCTTGAATTTTTGAAGAGGTAATTTAATATTCCTTATTTAAGATACGCTACTGTTTGTAGTTCTTAGTGATGAGTTTTTAGTTATATCTTTCACTGTCACCTGAGTGCTAGCCACTGACATCTCGAGTCGATTTGCAGCTCATTTTATAGCTGGACGCGTAGTAACGCATATACAATATTTTTTACCTACGAACGGTTTTGAAAGAGGAAAAGGTATTCCCAGCTACTTAAGGAATTTCGCTTCGGCTGCAGAAACCCCAGCGGCTTTGGTTGCAACATAGTTTTGTCATTATTCTGAAATGTTTGGTTTTTATGGTAATCATCACAATGTCTCAACACTTTAGTTTGACTTCAATCAGTTTCCTTTTTTTTTTTTTGGTAAATTATAACGATTATCTTTTTATACCCTGAACAGGGTATATTACGTTTGTCACATAGATTGTAACACCCCGAAGGAAGCGTCGGAGACCCTATAAAGTATATATAGTATATATAAATGATCAGTATGTCGAGCTGAGCCGATTTAGCCATGTCCGTCTGTCTGTATATATACGAACTAGTCCCTCAGTTTTTAAGATATCCTTTTGAAATTTTGCAAACATCATTTTCTCTTCAAGAAGTTGCTCATTTGTCGGAACTGCCTATATCGGACCACTATAACATGTAGCTGCCATACATACTGAACGATCGGAATCAAGTTCTTGTATGGAAAACTTTCGCATTTAACGAGATCTATTCACGAAATTTGGTATGCATTATTTTCTAAAGCAACAATGTACAATGCACAACGGAATCAAGTTCATTTATTTAAAACTCTCTAAATTCGTATATGGTATTCTAAATTCCTAAGCATTCTACCAATATTATCTGCTTATTTCCCAAATTTTTGGCAATTCTCTTACAGGGTTGTGTGAGATTTCGTGTCATAGCATTATATTTTGCACACCGTTTAATACGATTGAAGTAATATATTTAATGTTGCCACACTGTTAGCCAATTCACACTGGGCTGCTAGCAGTAACTAAATTAGCAAGATGAAATTGTTTATGCAGTAGTTTTCTTTGGGGGACCGCAGTGTAAATTTACACCTCATGTATTCGCCGCACCCCTTACACAAACGAATCAATGTTTTCAAGGCTATTTGTGCATGTGTGCCTACACGGCATATGTCTATGTAAGCAGCTTCACATGAGTAAGAGGATCATGATTTCCTTGTTGGAAGTTGCAGTTTTACTGTTCAACTTGCTATTTTCATTTCTGCACTCCATGTTGTTGGCTTGGCATCGGCCAACGTGCATGACTACGAGGACATAGTAGATCATTTAGTTCAATTAATGTACGTATGTGTAAGTAACGGTCAGCATTTAGCTAAGTTCTTGTATACTTTATATACTGGAATACTCTGCAATGTCTGTTATTGAGATTTTGTTGAAATGGATGGTTCTATGTAGTAGGATTATGCGCATTTTGCGAGTGATAGTCATAAATCTATATTGTGTTATCCCGTTATATTCAGTACCAAACTTTACTTTGGAACATTTGGAGCGTATATCTCTAGATATTTATTTTGTGGTCGCTTTAGTCATGCATTAAACTTTTATATAGTACTTAGCAAATAATTTCAATACTTACTTAAGCAAGGTAGAACATTACGATTTCCCCGCGAAAATTAAAAAGCCTTACAATTTTTGCCCACTGTAATATTCATTCGTTATTTGTAGTAGTATGCAAAAATTTTAAAAATATTCATGCTGTTGTTTTCTTTACGATAATTTTGTAAAAGCATCTTTGTTTAGGCGGTCACACCAAGTGCGTCCCTTATATATTTAAAAATCACTAAGAAAATAATTAAGTATATCTAAAGTGCATAAGTTAATCTTATCTTAAGTTTATTTAATTAATCGAGTTCATTTAGAAATAGTTAAATGATTGTTCGTTCATTTAACCGAAACACCCAAAACCTTAACTATTCAAGTGATTATAGCGTTTTTTTTTTTTTTGTTATAAATAACAGTTGACCGAAAAGTTTTAAATAAATATAATAAAAGCTGTGCTTACCTTTCGCATATATCGTGGGATTATAAGCAGCGAATTGACAGGTCGGCATATTTATGTTATTAACTAAACCCATTGACATACGAGATACAGATGCGCGCTAAAAAATAGAGAGGATAGTCGAAAAATAATTATATATTTATACATGTATTTTCTCTTAAATAATAATAAAAAAAGACAACACTAGACCTTTCGCAAATACAACTGATTCTTTAAAAGAGCGTGATACCGCTTATTTAGTTTGTATGCCAATGTTATATACAAGGGGGGTTCCAAAGTAAACAGGACTTTTTGAATCTAGCTCCTCTGGTGGCGCCATCTGTATATCAACTGGTGCGTTAGAATCTGCTATCTTTAGCGATTGTCGAGTGAAAATTTCATGGCATTTCATAGATTGGAAGTGAAGTTATTGAATTTTAAATGTCACTATATTTGAGATATCTGTGCGAAAATGAGCTTCGATCAAAGAGCTAACATGAAACTTGATAGAACTTTTACCCAAACGTTTCAATTGATGAAACAAGTTTATGACGATTATTGCCTATCCCCTAGCAGAGTGTACGAGTGTTTTCAACGCTTTCAAAGTGATCGTGAGGACATAAATGACGACCAAAACATGGGGGTCAATCAAAATCAGCGATCACCGGAAGTTCTATCGAAACTGTGCGTAAATTTATTTGAAATTCATGGAAATGGAATGGAACATCCCCAAAACATCGATTTATCGCATTTTGACCGAACATTTGGCCTTACGAAAGGTGTGTGCACGGTTTGTTCCGCACAAATTGATTGATGACCAAAATTTGTTCAGAATCTAACATTCGAAAGACTAAAAATCACGTGATGTGACGCCGTGCGAGTTCTTCCTTTTCGTAAAATGCATTTCCCCATGAAAGGAAAGCGTTATGTAGATGTAGAGGCCATTCAAAAGGCTTGGTTCGGCATACTTCATGGGAATTCCCTTACGTATATAAAAATCCTTTATTAAAACAAAACCTGCTAAGCTAGTTCTGCATTTGAAAGCACTTGCAGGTGCCAAAATACGCTAATTAAGTCTTGAGGTCATTTTTTAATGAAATTATCAATAACAGGGACTGGATTTTCCCGAAAACGAATGTATGAGCATGCTTCAGATTGAGCTATATAACGGGCTGCAAATCGACGAGACGTCAGTTGTTAACACTGAGATAACAGTGAAATATTTAGTTAAAAACTCATCACTAATAACTATAAACAGCAGTGTATTTTAAACTCAGAATATTAAATTACACCTTTGAAAACTCAAGATGACTTCGGAGCTAAGCTAATTGCTTAAAATGCTAACATTCTTCCTGATAGTTTTTCAAACCAGCGCTAGATCTACACCCAGTGCTGATCCTTCTAAAGATATTATGAAGAAACTGCAGAGCATTTTTAAACTTGACGAAGGCCTTATAATACTGGAGTAGCGAGTAGCGAGAGAAGAAAAATTAGAAGATGACGAAATCGTTTGCGCTGAACGTCGAGCTGGAAAGTCATATTGCAAGGAGGTTGAAAACTATATGGAGGCCACACGTCTAGACAAAATTGACCCAAAAGAGTTCGAGAATTCAGAGCATATTTCACAGATGATATGGCGATGCCACTGAATATAGCCACTCGTATGAAGATGCAGGTGGTGAATAAACTTTGCAATACTGTACCAAACCTGATTTATCCGAAATGTGCAATGTCAGAGGATGGCAAGTGGTTATTGGTGGTGCAATATGAGAAACATAAGCAAGGTGTTTTGGTGGAGGAGTGCGAAAATGAGAAGCGATCTGGCGAAGAGAATAATACCCTGCCGCTGGAGGATATTGCGAAATGCAAACAAAACTTCACCTATCGTAAATTGGTTGTGTTGTTGGACGGCGTGATGAAGGAAGAAATGGTTAAATTACCAACTAGCTGTGAATGTATCACGAGCAACATTTCAGATTATAATTGGTTATAGCACAAACAAAATATTCTGGGTGGGATTGTGGGTTATTTTATATACAAAATAGCAAAAAAAAAATTTGGAGTTGACCAAAATTCACGACTTTTCGATATTTTTAATGGTAGTACAACTAATTAAAGAAATGGGTTTGTAGAAATATTTCTGATATTTTTTTTTTTCAGTTTTCATGAAAGGTCTTTGTTTGGAAATAATGTGTTTTAAATTTTTTTGAGACAAACAGTGCATGTTGTGTTTCCAAATGAACTTTTCTGAATGAATCGTCTGAATTACATATCTGAGTCTGTTAAGTAAACTTGGCTATCGTTGAAAAAAGTTTATATTGGGGGCGCCCACATATATGAATTAATGACAACTATGAGGCTTCCAAATCGGCTTACAACACCCCTTATTCCAAATTACGCACAAAATAGGTTATTATTAAATTTCAAAAGTGTTTCCAACCTCATATTATTACTTACCCCATGTGTTGGTATTGTATCAATATCGACTAGAGGACAGGAAGACCGATGTTGTTGCTGGAATTTCGGTTGATAGGGTTCCAGCATGCGGATTTTACCCCAGCGGTTAAAGAACAACACGATGGCGCCAACCCAAAGCATCAACACTAGGCCCACAATGATCACCTCTTCCGGTCGTACCACGATTTTGGGACCTTGAAACAGAAATTAAAAAATAATATAGATATTAATGTTGAAGTAACTCGGGTATACAGAAAAATTTTTAAATATCAACTAAGCGTAAATAAAAATAAAACTAAGATATAATTAAGTGTGGCCGCAACGAAGCTATAATACCGTTAAAGGGTTTATTTTTCAAAAAATAAAAGGGTTTCAAAAATATCGCTGACCTTGATTTCGACCGCAGTTTGAATTTATTATGAGACTGTAGTTCTGTCTTGGTTAATAATACTTTCCAAATTTCGTGAAGTTATTCTATCAAATTAAAAAGCTTTTCATACAAGGACTTGATTTTGATAGATCCGTTTGTATGGTAGCATGAGCTACAGTGATCCAATATTGGCGATTCTGACAAATAAACAGTTTCTCAGGGAGAAAAAGACGCACGCAAAATTTAATATAAATATTGGGTAGTCGAAAAAGTATTTTCGTAAAATTCAATGGAATTATGGAACCGGACTATCACATAAGCAGCCAAGACATCGCTAAGAAACTTAACATTCATCATCAATTGGTTTTGAACTATTTAAAAAAGGCTGGTTACAAAAACAAAAAAGCTCGATGTTTCGGTACCACATGAATTGTCAGTGAAAAATTTAATGAACCGAATTAACATCTGCGATTCTTCGCTAAAACGAAATAAAATCGAACCATTTCTGAAGCGAATGGTAACAGGAGACGAAAAGTAGTCTAAACGTGGTGAAGCTCAACAAATGGTCGCAAAGCCAGGATTAACGCCTCGAAAGGTTATGCTGAGTGTTTGATGAGATTGGAAAAGAATCATCCACTTTGAGCTACTCCTGGACGAACAATTGATTTTATATTTTACTGGTAACAACATATTGAGATTGAAACAAGCAAGCAAAATAAAACGACTAGAACTGATCGAGAGAAAGGGCTTTGTCTTCCTTTAGGACAACACAAGACCACACACATATTTGATGAGTAGGCAAAAACTGTGAGAGCTTGGCTGGGAAGTTTTGATGCATTAACCATTTAGCACTGACGTTGCACCATCGGACTACCATTTGTTTTGATCAATGTAGAACTTCCTTAATGGAGTAAAGTTGGCTTCAAGAGAAGCCTGTGAAAATTACTTGTCGCAGTTTTTCGTCGAGAAACCAGAAAAGTTTTATACTGATGGAATAATGTCTCTAGGAAAAATTGCAAAAAGTTTTTGACCAAAGTGGTACATAATTGTTTATTTATTTATTAGTAAAAATAAAAATAAGTTGAAGTTTGATTAGAAATACGAAAAGACTTCTTCGACTACCCAATGTCTTAAGAACTAAGGGACTAGTTATCGTATTTATAAGCTTCAGAATATAAAAATATTCACAATTTTCTTGCGCTTCGCTTTGTGCACGATTTTTAATTAAAAGTGAACGGAAATGTTCCGATTACCACGAAACCTGTGAATTCCATTTATAAGTGGCGTTTTTTTGCACTTTGACAAATGAAGATAAATGAAATGAAAATCACCATTAAAGAAAAACACACAGCTGACAATGAGCGAGTAGTGGTCGCTTATCCAGCTTGTGCCGATGTTAAAGCCAACAATAGCAATAAAGTCAATGAGTCGCATTGCTGCACAAATCAAAGTGACGACTTTTAATTACTACCGTAATAGCAGGTAGATATACTGGTAATTTGTTTTAATTACTTGCAAGCGAAGTAACAGTTGCAGGATAATGCGGGAAATCGTAAATTACATGAAATTCAATATACATATATGTATACTGTTAATGCGCACGTGTCCAAGTAGAAGATAAATACGAGACGCAATGCAGGAATACTTAAATATACTTATATGTATATTATGTACACCTTCTGCCAATGTATGTGCATGTATGTATGCATAGTTCATGTAAACAGTAGCATATCCTTGAGTCGCTTGAAAGTCACATGTGTATGGCTTGAACTTCGTTGCGCTTGTCACCGGCACAACCGCTGATGTTTCCGTTGCCGATCACATTACGTAAGCTTCTCCTTGTTAGCTGTTTCCTTTCAGCACACTCACACACATGCACATACACGCGTACAATTATAGTTGCGTACTTTCGAACATATGGCTGCAAGTACATGGGAAACGTAATATGTGTTCTATATATGCTCATGTGTGTGTGTCGTTTCCATTGTGTGTGTTGCCACATCACGTGCCACAGCGGTTTGGGTTGAAATTGCGTGCAGCTCGTGCTAAGGCTTTGATCCCTGCATTCACCTTTGGTCGGAAAAATGAATATAATTTCCGCTGAGTTTTTTCGATTGTCAAACGCATATGTGCCACCGACTTCTTTACATGCTGGCACATAGCGATGAAAAGCAACCCTGTAGGAATGTTTGTACGTTGATAAATAAATATTTTTATTGTAAATATTTGTATATTTCTTCCAAATAAGAGATCGACGATGTTTCGAGTTTCCGCATTAAAAGCTAGAAGTTAATCTGTGATTTCCGTATAAAGAACCAATCGACTTTACTGATCCAAAATTAGGCAAATATTAGAATACATTACATCTTGTATGGTGATTGTTTGATATTTCTGAAGCGGTTGGTTAAAGTATTGAAAAATAGATAACTTACGACAACATCCCGTGTAAACGATCCTGATCCAAGCGCTGTGACCCAGTGCAAAGGTTGGAGAAGCCAGAATTGACGATCGCACGGTATGTGCCTTGTATTTCGTTGGATTGGGAGCGTTTGATCGTGTATGAGTTTACCCTAATGGCCTTTAGTTAGGTTAGGTTAATCTGGTAGGCAAAATAAGCCACGCATACACCAGTATGGTACGATGCGATACCAGAAGGAGTTCAGTTGCTAGGTCCATTAGGAGTAGCCATCCTTTAGCGTGAGGTCTCCAGATGCTTACAGCGTAGTGCAGAAGAGATGCTCCAGACAGTGACCAGTTGGTATTCCGATCATATTCTCTCTTCTATTGAGTGCCAATACTATCTATCGATCTACCGTTTCTCACATGACTTTTGCAGTTTTGCTCCCAGGTAACTCGTTCGATCGGGTTATTTTCTTTACCATGCATTTTTTCAGTTCGTTAGTTTCCCAATGTTGATCACGTTTTCGGGTGTTATCCAGTCTTCTAAGTATAAGCTAAACAAACCTGTTCTATTGTTATTAAACAAGTAGTTGTAAAAAGACCCACCTAATGTAAAAAATTTGCAGCACGAGTAAGACTACATTAGCATTTCCTAGCATTTTCTGGTGCCTTGCTCTAGACATTTCATCCAGTCTTCTCGATCTGTCAGTCCTATCCTGCGGTTGTGTGTCGCCACCAGACAGTCAGCAGTTAGTATTAGAGCTAAACGTCTTAACTCGGTTCTATACTCTAAACAAATTGGACCGCTAGTAAGAAGCAATCGTCTAAGAGTAGCCAGCTTTGACCAAAAGTTCCACCAGAAATACATCAGGCCACACAAATCAGTAGTGATTTGACAGAAGCCACGGGTGCTATAAAGGTTGAGAGGTTCTTATACATTCACCTTATAGTCTGTAAGTGATACCAAATGAAGACTACCTGTTCTTATCTCAATTCAATGTACGGTCACATTTTTTGAGGGTTTCTATCAGCATGACATTATAAAATTATTATAATTAAAATGGCAACAAATTGTCGATCAAAACTCTATGTATTTGACTAAAATTCAAAATTTTTGTATGATAATTTAAACCTTGAATTTGATGCAAAAATAATGCATTTATTTTTGATTGGCCTTATTTGAAATTTTTGTATAAAAAAGGAAGAATGCCAGGCAAGCCATCAATGAAATTTTTGAAGTTATGCTGTACCAGTTCCTGTAGCACAACAATGGTTCGCTCGATTCCGTTCTGGAAGTTTCGAAATTTTGATTTACACTTGATTTACACTGAAAGAATGTCTATAGCGAAAAAGTGGCAAAAAGTGGTCGATCAAAATGGTACATATTTGTTTATTTATTTATTAGTATAAATAAAAAAAAAAAAAATAAGTTGAAGTTTGATTAGAAATACGAAAAAACTTTTTCGACCATTCAATATTAATCCGTTAAGTTTTTTATACGGTTCTTTAATGTTCGACAATACTTACTTTTAACTAACTTTCAGAGTCAGGCAATTTTTATTGTAAACATCGTATTTTTAGTTTGAAGTCGTAAGGTATTATTGCCATATGATTAACTTCGATTTCCGAAAATTTAAGGGCACTCGCGACCGGCTTACTAGGCTTTATATTTGTGTGGAGTTAGGACTGCGACCCCTAAATTCATTAAGCTAAACAATAATAAACCCTGCAGTCGTTTTTAGTCGGTAACCACTCTCATCGCGAAAAACTTTTGAATATGTCGAAATATTTTTTTCTAGGTTGGTAGGACTGTCGGTGACATCTGTGCCAAATAACACATCAAAATGTCTTTCTAAAATACATAAAGTGCGGCGATCTTAGTACAACGATGAGGAAAATTATTCAACAAAGCAGTTCCATAAAATTTTGTATGCGGAATCAAATTTCTGGTGCCGAAACGTTGATAATGTCGAGAAAAGGTTTCAGTGATAATTGTGATTTCGATTTTGACAAATTATTCAAAGAGGGTTGAAAACAGCACGGCGATCAACATTAACTGATGATCAACATGTCAATAAAATAAAGGCACCAATTTGCTTGAGAATCACCGTTTAACAGTCAGAGCGCTCACTGGTTTTGTTGAAATATCGGAAACAACAGTGAAACCGTTTCGAAAGATCATTTGGGCCTAAGAAAAATCAAAGCACGATTCGTCACAAAATCACTTTTTCAAAAAGCAGCATCGCGTTAACGTCTGTACAATGCTTCCCAACTTCTAGGATGTCTTGTACGTTGAAAGGAAGTAAACTTCGTCAAAGTATGTCAAAAATCAAGGTTATGTTGACAGGTTTCTTCGATTATTGAGGTGTGATGTACTTGGAATTTCTTCTGACTGGCCAAACTGTCAACAATGAATACTATTTAAGTATTAAGCGTCGATTGCTCGAAGCTATTCCTAAAAAGTGGGCAATATTATGGGTCGAACGATCATGAATTTTAAATTTTTAAACCAATAATATGCCGTGTGACTTCTGGCTATCCAGCAAAAGTAATATAGTTAAATATAATCACAATGAAATGCACCCTCTCAAAATGCAGTATTGTACTAAATTCACTGCGAAGTTTTCATGTACGACAGAATATACCATATAATTATATTTAGTGGTACATAACTGCATGTCGTAATATGAACTCTCCCATTTTTCAATTTTTACTAATTTACTTTCAACTCGACACATATTTCACGCATTTCTTTTCGGGAGTATTTCAAAAGTACCACTCAAATATCCTTTTCTCCACTTCAGACACTATTTACTGCATTGTACTTATGTACATACTGCAATTTACCTTACTGATTTTCTTCTTTCCTTGCTAACTTTGTTCTTTGGTGGCCGCTGCTTGAAGTTTTAAATGAACGATTCCGTAAAATTTAAAGCATTTGCAGCATCTTAGTTGAGTGTGCTGAATCCCGGCTCTTTTTAAAACTAAATTTGGAAGCAGCTTCTAGGACTTTTAATTTGTTGAAAATACAAATACAAAGCGAACATAAAGGACGAAGTGTATACAATTGATAATTTTACTTTTCGTTTGTTTGAACATTTATTTTTCCTGCTTTACAGTTATTTCTATTTATTTATCTGCCGCAACGCATAATTTTTCCATGGTGCTTTAATATGTAAAGCAAATAATAATAAGATAAACTGAAAATAAAGAATTTGAACCAATTTGAGAGCGCGTGGTATTACCAAAAAGTAGAGAACGGATAAAGCCAAGAGCCAAATGTAACAAATTTTGCTTAGTAATGTTATAATTATTATAAATATAGTGGCCATGATTTGGCAAATAATAATCAAGATCGAGGTGTCGAGAAGAGAAGAGAAGGGAAAGCTTGAGAAAGTCAGCTGCTGAAACTGAAAATTTCTTAAAATCAGCACTTTAGGGATGTCATGTTAGGAAGGAAGTGTGGGGATAGTTGCAACAATGTTTTGTTTTGTTAAACTTATCAAATGTTTTTGTCCAACTTTTACCGCAATGTTTTGGAGATACTAGTTTTCAACTATTCTAAATAACTTGAAGCAGTTTTGTATGATCATATATCAAACCAATTCGAAAACTCTTTTTCCTTTGGAATGCCACAAAAATTGCTCAAAACCCCAACACTAAGCATAAATTGAGGGAATAAATTATATTTATTTCAATAACTGCATTACTATTGGCCACAATAGGTGAAATCAGACATCTTGAGCTGAATATTTTACTTAAAATCATTACCGAAGCAGACTCCCTACATACACATATGCATGTATTTTGGTCTAGTCTATCTTAGATTACTCCATAATATTGTATACAGGTACATAAAAAAATTAGTACCTACTCTATCTCTGAAGTTCGCTCGTAAACACATCTCACATCATTCGAATTATGAGCTACAAAAAGCTGTGTTTTGAGGCTCATTCAGATTTATCTGACCCTAAGTTAGTTGTTAGTTATGTATCACTTTCTGTTGAATGCATTCTGAGCTCTGGACCTCTATCGCCTCGGACTATAAACATCTCAAAAAGATGGGGATCGTGTAATGGGAAACGTAATAGAAAGATCTCATTTGTGTCAATAAAGATGTACTTAGTCCTGTTTTAGTCCAAATAAGTTGTAAAATACTAAAGTGTTGTTTTCGTAAAAATATTTAATGTCTGCAAACAAAATTATTAATTAAAAGAAATTTCTAAATTTTACACTCCTATGAATAAACATTGGAACATCAGTGCTAAATTTGAATTAGTAGTTCTCCTCTCCTATCGTCATCGTCGACAAAGTTATATCGGGTGATTTTTTTGAGGTTAGGATTTTCATGCATTAGTATTTGACAGATCACGTGGGATATCAGACATGGTGTCAAAGAGAAAGATGCTCAGTATNGTCAACATTTAAATGAAATTATCTTCAAAAAGTAAATGTCATGAACCAATCTAACGTTTCAAATAAAGAACCGATGAGATTTTGCAAATTTTATGCGTTTTTTTTTTTAAAAAAGTTATCAAGCTCTTAAAAAATCACCCGATACTATAAGGGTGGCGGCGCAATGATACCCGCCGACATGTTTTTCGTGTTTACGGGAAATCTGTTTCTGTGGATCTTCACTTTTCGAATTTTTTTTTTGACAGGTAGCGAATGCTCTATCCCAAGTGCATATAATATTGTATATAGTATTGTTTCTTATGTGGCTGTATCTTCGGTTCGCATTCCTTCGAAATCGTAGCAGGTTTTACTGAAACCAAATTCTCCGTATTGTTGTCGGTAGGGTTAGATGCCCTTTACTCTCATATAACATAAGCTCGATCCCATGGATACGAAATGGACTCCTTATGTGGCCGCGTCTTAAATTTTTGTTTCTTCGGAGTAGTAGTGGGTCTTACTGAAGACAAATTCTCAGTATTATTGACCGTCGGCTCAGATGCGCCTTCGTTGCATATAGCGTCGGCTCGATCCCATGGATAAGAAATGGGCTCTTTATGTGGTCGTCTTTTGAATTTTTGTTTCCTCTTAGTTGTAGTGGGTTTTACCGAAACCAAATCCTCCAAATTACTGTCGGTAGGTTGAGTCAATGGATTCGTTGTCGGCTTCTCAGCACGGCAAAAGTTTTTTGATTTAGGTTTATGTAGCGAGGATGACAGAGGTCCATCATTTAATACTGGATTAATGATTGTCAGATCAGGTTTTGTTAACGTACCCATACCATGTTGGTTTGGCAACGTTTTACTACATTCACCATTGGAAGCACAATTTTTCGAATGTTGAATACCCATTTTTAGAAAGTTTGTTCTGAGTTTGATGATGTGACTTGCAGAAACTGCGGAAGCTGACTATGGCCATACTCGAGATCACTAAACCTTTTATAGCCAAAAAGTATTGTGCTGGTGTTGCGAAAGGTTTTGGTTTTAAACCATCTTTTCAAAATATTGAACTTGCACAGGTAAAAAAAAAATATATAGGCTGCCTTTACTTTATTGTGTTACCCCCGGCATTGTTGAAGTCTGTCCCAGTTCTCTTTATAACTACTGTTACTATTGATTGTCCTTAATAAGTAGGTACGAGTATAGCAGTCATTAAAATTTATGTTTATGAAAATTGTGGTTTTTGAGTTTCTGGCGGTTTGTATGATATGTTTGTATTAACTTTAGAAAACTATTTTATGTATATTTTTCCACAAAAAGTTGTATAATTACTATTTTAAACTTACCATTCCCCGCTAGGGTGGAATTCAATGGAGCTATATTGGTCACATCTTCGCTGCTGTTGAGATAATCTGTGTTCGTTGCTGAGGCAGAGCCAGTTTCTTCGATTTCCACAATAAAATTTGGACCGTTCCAACCGGAGCCCCATTCTTAAATTAAAGACAATGCAAATTAATTATCAGAATTATATAAGGGACCATATTAAATTAGTATTTAATGAATAAAATATAGTTATTTCACCTCTGTCTTGATACAAGACAATTTACTTTAATTAATTTTTAATAGTAATCAACACATAAAGGAAATACAGAAACTAAATCTGGAGATCTTTATTCAGGCAGATAGGGTACCAAATAGCTAAGGCATTTAAGGTTAGATCAGTGTAAAGCAAAAGCCGACATTTCTTATGCATTACAGCACATAAATGGATAATAGTTAGATATACATATGGCTTGATATCCACCTCTTTGGGTTATTTTGGAAGTATATGCTTAAAAAGTTTGGAAAATATGAAAACAAAAAAACGTTCTAACCGAGTCCTTTCATCTTACAAAATTTCTAATTTTTTTTATTGGAGTTTGTTCCTGTCTAAAAAGCTTGGGAATACTTAGGAAACTACAAAGAGAGTCTGATGTGCTGCATCGATTAGGCATACCCGTCTGTCTGTATATATGCAAAAACTATCAGTTTTTGAGATATCGGTGTGAAATTTTAGATAAGTTCTTTTTTCCGCAAGAGTCTGCTGGCTCGTTGAAACAGTCGATGTCGGACCTCTATAGCATACAGTTGTCATACAGACTGACCGATTAAAATCAGCTTTTTTATGGGAAATTTTTAGTTGAGAATTTATTTTCCCGAAATTTAGTACATGTTATTGTCGAACTCGACATAGAGGTATAGCGGTGGTTTATATCAAACAAAGTGGCATGGAAAAAATTGTTTTACAGGTTGTTATGCTTCATAGCAAGTTTACAATGTCATTACTTTAGTAACTATAATATTGAGTTTAGAACAAGTTAAACAACCTCTATCCGCTTTTATTAGACCTTTTGCTCAAAAGAAACATATTGTTTGCTACTTTGAGTTCTATAGGTTAGATGACTGATCTAGAGAGATGGCACATGGACTGCTATATGTAGTCCTTTGTGACGCCATAGATAAGAAAAACTCCTGTGTTCGATCTTATAAATTAGCAAAACGCTTAGTAGCCAGTACAAATTTGCATAGAAGTTTTAGTTATATTCTCGCCAGTTCGGTGGAATGTCTGAAGGGATGCGTTCCCAAACGTTTAAGTCTTGACCTCCCAAACGCGGGACAGTCAAGACAGAAGTGTTAAGTTGTTTCCACCTCATCTTCTTTCATACAGCTTCTGCAGATATCGGATTTCCTGCCTTACCGCGTGGCATGGATGCCAGTAAAGTGCTATTGAATACGAGGTTAGGACCGTTAAAGCCCCATTATTAGAGAGAGACTAGCTTTAGAGATCACCTGATCTTTTGCCATCGATTTTGGACCAAAAGGCTTTTGCGCGAGCGCCTGTACCGATGGTTGTCCAGCGCTGGCTAAGCTTCCGTGAAGCCCAACTATCTAGTAGAAGAACACGAGATCATACGGAACAACCGACCGGCTCCCATTTTACCAATTAGCTTTACAATTACCTAAAAATCCGAAGCGAGGTGAGACATTCCTTTACCAACCCTGAAAATACTGTAATGAGTTCAAGGCTAGTATCGAAGCTCTGCTATCTGAGTATAGTACTCGTATGTGGTCTTTGAAGAAGGCTGCACTCCGGTGCAGTAAATCTACTGCTACTATAACGGCTACAACCTCTGCTTGGAAAAACACTGAAATAGTTAGGAAATCCGAAGCCGGAGCTGATAGAGAGCTCCTGACTGAAAACCCCTCCACCAACCATGACCCAAACGTAAGGAAGCTCACTCCGCCCCTCTCCTTCAACGCATTTTTACCAGTCATAACTCCCTCGCCAGTATAAGGATAGAGAAGAAGCCGCCAGTGGTATTGTGAGAGTATTTCCGAGTGTTCAGGCACGTAGATTTTTAGGAATTCATATTCTCAGAGTCCGATCTTCCGATGATGTTTACGGGCAATATACTATAGTCAAGTTGCGTTAAGGTTCATGGTTGGACCTTAGTTTTATACTGTAGATTAATTTTTTTTAAGGTTTTTTAAAGCTGTTCAGAAGTATTCTTCGATAGAACTGTGTTGAGTATTCTATTTATAAGTGTTTAATATCTATAACACAGAGATTTCTTACCTTCTGAAACTCCTGGTGTTGGTTCTGGCCGTGCTAATAGTTTCTCCAGTTTGATAACTGTAAGCAAAAAGCGAAAACATGTTATGTCTCGAAAGAAATATAACGAGGAAGATTCTACATAATATGTTTGGTGTTAAATAGTTTTGATTTAGTTTTTAGTATAATTAATTTTTGCTTATAAAAAATTATTTGCCTCTTTTATTCAATATGAAATCTAATTATTATTATCTGTTTTCCGTTTCAAGCATTGGGAAATTATTGTTATTATTTTAATAACACATTCTCTACAAATATTTTATACCCAAGTTGAATGCTTACTGGGTTATTCCTGCATACTTTCTGCATTGCATTGTTTACTTTATTTTTTGCAGTAGAGTGAAATTTCGCAGAAAACTTCTGCTTTAACTGTATATAATACTTACATATAGAAACACATGTGTTCTCTGCATAAATATATAAATAGTAAATTTGTTTGCTTGGGATTTTCTCTAGTGTGCCACTTTTATTATCACCTTTCCCAAAATGCTTGTTAGCAAAATGTCCGAAATACCGCAGTGAGACAGGTGTTTGTGGTTGAAAAGTTTCTGGTTGCAAAGCAATTTAATAGTCAACAAAAATTCTAGGAATCCAAAACCACATGTTAGGCAGAGCTTACATGTTGCAAAACTTTTTCACAAAAAGTATCAACATTGTAATGGCGTAAAATGTAAATTCTGTTTTGAAGTGGAATAAGTAAGGAAACTGGGTATTGGAGTCTTATTGGATATTATGGCAACTGTAAATGGGAATATTATATATTCTTATTAGACAATAGGGTGTTTCAAATACCAATAGTTCTTTGGTTATGTAGGAAAGTGAGTGTAAAAATCTTTCTATGCAGGAAGTATGTTCCTGTGTTAGAATCCTTGGACGGAAAGTAAAACATGTATTGATTTTACTCTATGATTATTCAGCCAGAGTTTTAAACTCTTTTCTTTTGGTCTTTCACTAACTAATTTTTTCACAAATTTTTTTCTCATATAAATAATGAAATATGTTGTTAGAATTTTTTATTATTACAAACATACACTATAAACAAAGAAATTCTGAACTTTTTGGAAAAAAATTATTGTAAATGCGGTCATTGCGACGCCACTTCCGGTAACCCCTCAGAAACAAGATGCGACCGCGCTGGCAAGATAACTTCTTATAGGATCATGTAAAGTGAAAAAATACATGTTTTAGTAAAACCTTAACTTAGAACTTGGACGAAGGAAAAAACTCAAAATCGGATTTTTGGCTGACATTTTTACCAAAAAATTCAAATTATAGTGCTAAATTTTGCTACATTTTTTTTTTTTAATTATTGTGTGTAAATTATTTAAGAATTGTATCTCAAACACCTGTGTAAAATTTCATGAAGATCGGTTGAGTTGTTCTCGAGAAATCTTGCCAACCATCTTCAAAACACAGTTTTCGAGTACAACGCGTTTAAAAACGGAGCACTTTGCTTAGCTAGCCTCTAGCGCACAAGTTCTGAAGGCTGTATTTCTGAAACTATTATTCGGATCAACTTGAAAATATAGAACAATATTCTAAAGGTGTTGTAGAATTTTAGAAAATGTAGAATGAGACAATAAAAAATTCCATTGTCGAGCTCATTCTAAAGTCAGCATAATACGATTTTTAAGAATTAAAAAAAAATTAAAAATATATTGTTTGAAAATTGTTGATATTTTAAGAATACGCAAATTTTTGAAGATAAAAATTAATATTCTTCGAATTAAATCCGATTTGCGCATTGAATGATTAAATTTCCGATCCTATTAGGCCTTTAAAAAATAAGACTTTTAATGTTACTAAATTGTTAAAATTTTAATTTAGAAAATATTATGCTACAGCCGAGCCTTTTATGTTAAGATAAAACGATGAAATGAGGTCCGGCTGGTATTGGTGGATTTTTTGTGCGACTTATTTTGGGAAGTAGGACTTTTTCCAAAAATCAAAATTTTGACTAGTCATTCGATCTTTGCATGTACTTATCTGTTGTAATATCAATTATTGTTTTATTTTGCTTTGGGTTTTAGGTACCTTTTTGCGTAGATCCCCCTGAAGATCAGCTGCGTTGTCATCAAAATTCATTGCTAGTCACATTGAATAGCTAATTAAATTTAGTAAATACACATATTTTAGTTTATTTATAAAAAAAATTACTCCCCCAAAAAATAATAATTTTATCTAAAAAAAACTAATTTTTATGTCAGAGATTTTTTTAACTTGAATCACGAAAGAATACAAGGAAGCAAATACAAAGAATTTTCTTATAATATATATTCGCATATTCATTTTCGAGCCCAAAATTTTCCGCTTGACACGTCACTCAAGAGAAATATCTAGTTAAGTAGATAAATCACAATTGGGAGACCAAAAAATTATCGCCTAAATTATTGTGCGACTCCAGGAAAATGACGCGGTCACAGTAAAATTCAACAAAACTGTTCGCAGCGCTTAAAAGGCGGCGGCGAGGACATTGGCATTGTCTACTCAGACATTATGCTTGTAGAAAAAACTAGTCGACAGCAATTATATGCGACTGCAGTGCGTACAATTATCCTTACAAGTAAAAAAAGAAAAACGTAAACACAATAACAACAAAGCTGCTATGTGACGACAATATAATGACAATAGAGCATTGAGTGGCGAGCTCTTGAAACCGGCCAGAGGTCATTGTCGACAAGTGCAACGACACAAATTATACAATGACCAGAAGGACTTGTCAAGAAGCGGAGGGAAGGATGCATCAAGCAGCTAAGAATGTGAAGTGCACCAC